TCTCTCTCTTTCTCTGTCTCTCTTTTTTGGAGGGGAAGGGCTGGGAGTGCACATTAGGTCGACTTGTTTCTATTTTTATGATGTTAGCAGTCATTGATAATTATGCTGAGGTCCATTAATTCATTCCAAGCCTCAAAGTGATGGTGATAATTGTTTTATCATTTATTTATTCATTTATTAACTGTGACTTTATAATTTTTAGATTTATGCATATATTTTATGTGTGTTATATGTGTAGACAAAGATTAAGGTGCTCAAGTTTTGCTTTAAGCAAATATTTACGTTCCAATCATTGCTTAGAAGGATTCTTTTGTCCTTTTACAGCTACTTGCTAAAAATTAAAGTAAACAGAATATTCTGCTTTTATTGTACTCTTGAAGGGACTGATGTCTAAGCTAATTTATTAAAGAATGTATTGTTTCTTGTCTTAACATTTTACTGAAGAATGTGTCAGCATTAGGACTGTTACAGGCTGAGAAACTTAACAAGAATTTTTTTTATGTTCTTTGAGTTTATAACCCTCACAACCTATTTTAGTCTTTATGGTAATCAACTAGGTAAAGCTCTGAGTTAAGCTCCCAGTATTTATGTTCACTGGCAAAATTTTCTCTGAAACTAATGAAACTGTTAATATCCTATTCTAAGTATAATACTTTTTCAACAGTTGAGCATCATAAAATAAATGAAGTTAAGATGCATTTAGAATAAGTTCTTTGGTGTGAGTCAGTTTTCCCTGGAATGTCCTGCCCTTGCTGCAGCTGAGGGACAAGTGGGTAAGTGTTCTGTGTGCCATTAGCTCCTTAAAAAGTTGGTGAGGAGATGTGGAGGTCAGGATTTTGAATACAACCAGCTTTCTAGGTTTAATATCCAACTCACTTTATATTATTTTGAATGAATGTTTGGGCATGAGTTACCTTCCCTTTTTTACAAATAAGAACCCAAACTACAGCTAGGGTAGCCAGATTCCTGGTTCTGCTCCAAAGGCAATTTCTGGTAATGCATTTAGATTTCAGTGATTGTAGTATAATATTCTACTCTACCATACCACCAACTTTCCCCAGCATGAATAAGATGGAACAGATACCATTTTATGGGTAATGCAGTTAAAGGTCAGAGAGATTTAGTGATTGCCACTCTACTAATAAATGGCTGCACTGGAATTGGAATTCAAGTCTTTCTGATTCCAAGCCCATGTTATTCTCACTACCACAGCCAAATGAAGACAAGAGGAGAAGAAGGCAGAGCGATTATTTAAGGAGTCACTATTATTTCCAGTGAGAGGTGATTGGGGCCTGAAGCAGGCAATGGAAACAAATAAAATTTAAGGGTTTCACTTGCTTTGGTGGCAGATAAGATGTGGGGGTTGAGGGAATAGAATGAATAAAGAAAGATGTGAGTTTCCTGGGTATGTAAATGAACTGTCGTGGTGGGAGAAGTAGTATAGGGGAGGGGTGCCCCTTTATTCCTCTTTCTTTGTGGACTGCTATATGTTGATTGAGGTGTTTGTGGTATATTTGTGGTATACCACATCGAAGACATTCAACAGGTACTCGGAAATTCAGGATACTACTCAGATTATTTAATCTTTTGGTAGGGGATACAAGGAAGCTCAGCAGAGGGTATATTCTTAATTCCTTTGTCATATGTTAATCCTATGCCATTTACCTAGTGAGAATTGTAAATTCACAGTTCTACCAGGGGGACTACCCTGTGGTTTATGGCCTCACCAAATTCCCTCTGTGTTGGACCCCATGTGCCTAGAATAGTGTTTCTGCCTATATACATATATTCCTGTACTTTCTTTTCTAGTGAAGATAAATTAGAAAAAAGACACCAGATGAAAGCATCTGATTTATTAATAGGATTTAATGTTGAGGTTACACAAAATATTTAGTAAAGAAACAGTAGTTAATAGCCAGTATGTTGAAAGAAAGGAGTTCATATATGCAGTTTATGGTCAGATGATATGGCAGTGACTTGTGCATATATCCTTGCACAGTTCCTGCTCTGTGGAAAGTTTGTACAAATAGTAAAGTTGGCAAGTTGACTCTTAGCTACAAGCCAAGAAATTTTACTGAAACAACAAATTAGAATTAGGTACCTATTTTGTGGGTATTTCAGGCCTCACCTATGTGATCTCCCTACTGAGAACTTCAAAGCACATAAAATTAAAAGACACTCTCGATTAGCCCTTATGAAGCAACACAGGTACTTGCTAACTTTCCCTTTTTTTTTCCTTGATGGTGCAGCTAAATTATAAACTTAAGTGGGCAGGGGAACAGGGAAGGGCTTGATTTCCCCCCAACCCCCACCCCCCAGAGGTTACCCATTAGGCCCTGAACCTAGTAGAAAATACTTATTGGTTAAGTCTCTAAATATAAATTTAGTTTGGCTCCCTTTGTCATTTACCAAGTAATAAAAATTATTTTATCTTTAGCATCTAGCCCTGTGCTAATAATTTATGGAAAATTAAAAATAGAGAAAACACAGCCTTGGCCCTTGGGATGTGTGCACTCTTGAGTTGGTTTTATTTGTAATTAATTTGGTGACAAAATGCTTGAGTTTGTCAGAGGATTTGAGTATCAAGTTATGGACAGAGCTTTAAGTTCTTTGCCTAATAGGAGCACAAAATAAAAGTTAAATGATGGTACGGTCAACTACAAGTTGCAGAATGACTCTCCAGCAGCTTCTTCGATGTAATATCACTTTAAATTCCATAGGAATATTTCTTATCAAGGAAATGTCCTGTAACAATGAACATTGATTTAAAACCTTTGATGGTTGTTTTGTTTTGTTTTTTAGATTTATTTACTTACTTGAGAATGCACATGAGCCGGGGAAGCGGGAGAGAGGGAGAATCTCGAGCAGACTCCTTGCTGAGCACAGAGCCTGACACATGTCTTGATCTTACAACCCTGAGATCATGACCTGAGCCAAAATCAAGAATGGGATGCTTAACTGACTGAGCCACCCAGGCACCCTGGTTGGTTCATTTTTAAAAGCCATAGAATTGGGGACATCTGGGTGGCTCAGTCAGTTAAGTGTCTGCCTCGGCTCAGGTCATGATCCCAGCATGAGGCTCCTTGCTCAGGGAGGAGCCTGCTTCCCCCTCTACCTGCCACTCCCCCTGCTTGTGCTCTCTGTCTCTCTGTCTCTCTGTCTCTCTCTCTCTCTCTCTCTCTCTGACAAATAAGTAAAATCTTTAAAAAAAAAAAAAAAAGCCATAGAATTATAAAGTAGGAAAGACATAGAACTTCTAGTCCCATTCCTTCTTTTTTCGTACATAGAAAGGGATCCCAGAGTGTTTGTTTCATTGAACTTTGTCTAAATTATCCCAGATATTTAGAGACAAAGCAGGAACTGGAACATGGGTTTTTGACTTCATGGCTTCCTCTTATATAATGTATTGTTATTTATGTCTTTGTGCATTAACTGAAGGTATATATATTATTACCATATTTTCTGTTATTTACTCATTTTGTTTTTTTTATATTATTCCAACAAAAGAAAAGTTATCTCTAATTACAAAAAAAAAGAAAGTGACTTACCTAATATCACATACTAAGAAATTAGCAAAACTAGAACTAGAACCCAGATCTTCTGTTTCCTAGTACATTGAATCTTTCACAATACCAAGCTTTTTCTCCATATTGTTGCCATTAGTCTTATTTACAAATTATTCCTATTAGGAAGCTTAGTCAAACTGAGAACATTTTCAAGAAAGAGTGATGGACTTCGTTGTAAGGAGGAAATCCAGCCTTCTCTTGTAGCATAATTTCAGTTTTCTGGATGGTTTTCATAAATTTGGCTCTATTCCATTTGAAATTTGAATTTACCACGTGCTAGAGTTTGAGGCTATAGGACAATCCAACGAAGTTATGGATTTGAATTGGTCTATAAGTAGTAACTGCTTTCATTCACAACAAGATAGTGTTTAAAAACTTTAAAAAACTATTAAATGTAGTTATATGTATAACCTTTTTAAGTTTTTGTTGAAGTGTAATATACATCTAAAAACATGCATATAGTCTACAGTTTGATGAATTTTCACACCTGAACACACACTGTAACCAGCATCCAGTTTGAGATCGTTATCAGCTGCCCAGATGCTCTCCTTACATTCTCCTCTAGCTACTACCCCCATCCTGCTGCCCCTAAAGAGTAACCACTATAAAGGTGAGGTCAAGTATTTCATTAGTCAGGGTTGCCCTATTTTTTTTGTCTTTGCTGAAATATGAAGAGGTTGCGAAAAGAACAATTTCTGGGGTCGGGGTGGCTCAGTCAGTTGAGCGTCCAACTCTTGATTTCAACTCGGATCATGGTCTCAGGGTCATGGGATCAAGCCCCATGTTGGGCTCTATGCTCAGCATGGAGTCTGCTTCTCCCACTTCCTCTGCTCCTCCCCACACTTGCGTACTCTCTCTTTCTCAAATAAATAAATAAATAAAATCTTTTTTTTTTTTTTAAGAACAAGTTCTGTCCTTATCAACAACAATAATTGCTAAAGAAAAAAAAACAGAATTTTTTCATTATCAAGGCATATTTACCAATTTGGTATTCAATCAGAGTTATACTGGGCAATTCAGATCTTTCGTGCAGCTTTGGAAACATCCCAGAGTCTCTATAACAGCTTTTGTCTTCTGATACAAAACACAAAATAAGCAAGAAAGATAAGAATTGATGTAGGGCATTGTGTGCCCCCCATACCCTCATGGTTATTACTCACTATGGAGGAAGCATGAAGGAATGACTGTAATGCTCTAATGCAGAGCTGTGGTTGAGGAATCATGATATGTTCTATTTTCTTTGTGTATAGGCTCTGAATACTGAAGATTAATATCAATAATTAGAATTCCATGCGCAATTTTTAATTCTCCAACTTCCATGTGAAATATAACTGCTGTTTCCCATAAGTTAAAAAGAATTGGTTGAAATTCTTCCATCTTGATTTAAAATCTTTTACCTATAACACTGTCTTCACTTCCTCTATTTCTTATCAGGACCCCTGAACAGTGCCCCAGTGTTGTTTCATTGCTATCAGAGAGTTACAATCCTCACGTGCGTTATGGAGCTGCTATGGCCCTGGGCATCTGCTGTGCCGGTACAGGAAACAAGGTAAAGCCCAAAGCCACTGGGGGCAGTTCTTGCCTGGCACCAGACTTGTTCTCCCTAGCAGAAAAGTTGGTATAACCACTGTAAAAATGCAAGTGTGGTGTGATCTATAAGAGTTAACTTGTCTCGCACAGCTTCCCAGAACTTCCTTCCTCACTTTACCATGCCGGGTTGCTCAAAGCCAGTTAAGAACAAACCACCACATTGCATAGGTGACCAAACAATGCTGTTGAATTTCTTTTTGAAAGCATTGATTTCTTTAAAAAAAAAAAAAAAAAAAACTTTAAAGAATTACTCTGGTCACTTTACATGGTAATTTATATGTTTAATTGGCATGATTAGAAATCAAGGTTCTTGTATGAGACCACCAAAATCAGCTAACTTTGATTCTTTTTGTTTGTTTGTTTTTGTTTTAAGCAAATCACTTAACTGCTATTTGCCTGATTCTCCTCACAAATCTAATAGGTAACGTGATATTTGTTAAATCCTAAAAAGTGACAAAGTAAAGAGTTGGGTTAGGCAAGCAAATGACTGTAAAATACAATTCATCGTGAGATTCATAAAGAAATGCGTTGTTGCTTAAACAAGTATTCTTCATTCACAGCAATGGCATAATCATCACATTTTTGCCTTTCATAGCACAAACGTACACACCTTCGCCACCCCCGAAACATGAACTTTTCTTTTAATGGAGTCCATGTGTGCATGGGTGTGTGTGTATGTGAGAGAGAGAGAGAGAGAGAACACAAACATAATGGGAATAGTGAGAACATAAAGAAAAAGGGTATAGCCAGGTTATGCTTCCAATGTCTGTATCAGAGGAGGAGCCATTTTTTTATCCACTCTTGTCCACAATAAAAGAAAATAAAACATTATTTATTGATTGAGTCCAGGAATTAAATTTTAATTCGTTTCACTTTTTCTCTAATAAAGAGTATTAATATTGGATACAAATAACTTTTTCTAGTCTCATAAAACATTACTGAAACTAGAAATTAAAATGGGCATTTTCACTATATGTGAAAAAAATTGCATAAGAAGTTATAGAGAGACATCCCCTTCCAGTATTCTGATTCATCTCCTCACCCTGCTTTATTTTTTCTTCATAGGACTTATCACCGCCTGACATCTTTTTACACCTATTTATTTATTGTATGTCTCCTCTGCCCTGAAATGTAAGGTCCCTAAGAACAGAATGTTCACTGCTAGAACCTAAAGTCAGACCAGGCACATAGTAGGTGTTCAGTAAATATTAGTCAAATCAGTGATGGAGGGGAAGATCCTTTAAGGATATGGTGGTGAACAAGTTGAGCATAGTCTCTGTCCTCACAGGGATTTGTTTTTAAGTGTTTTCTTTTGTGGGAGAATTTCTTACATGAGAATGTATCTTCAGTTTTATTAGAAATATCATTGGGTTTATAAAATACAGTTCATAGAAATTGGCCTTCATTTTTTTTCTGGAACACATCTGGGAACAAAGGAAAATTATAGTTGGATGTTTTATGAAGTATTTTCCCCCTCAGGTCTTCAGTAGACATTTATGTCAAGCCTCGTAAGTTAAATGTATATTAGATTTTTTTTTCTTTCCGGATTACTGTAAACTTAATATGATATGTAGGAGCAAGTGTTCTTTGAGACACAGCATCTGACAAGTTAATTCAATGAAAAATTTTTATTACTCATACTAAGCAAGTCTGCTTTATTTCTAGATAGTTTGTGTGATCTACATAACAATACCTATCTGACCAAGGTTTGGTGCTTTATTTTTATTTCTTAAAAACTCAAGACACTTTTTGATTCTAAAATGTATCTTTGAGGTTATATCACATACCTCAAAGACCAAGTTAGTGTCTTTTAACTTATAAGTTGGAAATTTGGTTATATTTTTATCATGACTACCTCTAAACAGTATTGGCAATACTATGAGTAGTGTCACATTTTTCAGTGAAATGGAAAGAAAATACATTTATCTGGTATGTATATTATCTGTTAACAGCTCTGATTTTTAAAATAAATGAATCCACATGTAAAGAAATCGGAAGTTGTTTTCTTAAAAGAAAAAGAATTCAACTTATTTTTCTTTCCTTGGCCTTGAAACAAAGGAAGTGGCATACTGTGTTAAGAAATAAATTTGATAATTTTAAACCCATTGCTTTGTTCCTCCGGATTTATACCTATAAAGACCTTATAAGGAATGTTAGAAAGGGGCACTTAACATTAATCTCATTTTCTGTTACCTTCTTTTTTACTTCTTTTACCTCAAGACAGGAACACGCATTCTACAAGCTTCCTTCTCACTTACCATCAATTATATTGAAACTAAAAGCATTCTCAGTTGCAAGTAGTCTTTAATGAACTCACTACAATGTCAGATGAAAATACTGACTTAGAATAACAGTAACTAATTTGAAAATTCAGCTATACCCGCTTAATTTAAAGTTTTTTCTAATGCTTTCAGGAAGCAATTAATTTGTTAGAACCGATGACAAATGACCCTGTGAACTATGTGAGGCAAGGAGCTCTGATAGCCTCAGCTCTCATCATGATCCAGCAGACTGAAATCACTTGTCCAAAGGTGAGCAAACAAAAAAATTCTCCAGAAGAGAGCTGGTTCAGGCTTTTCTTTAGTAACTTATCTTCTTTTAAGGACATTTTTACCTCAAATGTAGTGGACACTAGACTCAAAGGAAGTAAAAAAGGTGGGTAAAAGAGGTAACTTTATATAATACTCTTTAAATGCATTTTTTACAGATTTGTAGTCACTTTGTTAATTCAACTATTTAGCCATACTTAAAAAATTAGAACTTACATATTGATGAAATCATAAGAACTTTAATTTTTGCCTCCTACTGTCCTTTTAAAATGTGTTTAGCAGGATAACTTGTTCCTCTGATACAGGATGCAAACTCAGGCAGTCCATGACTTTTTGATTCATCTTTTTGAGGTAATAAAAAATCCTACATTCACTTTATATGGTATATACAATCTCAGTTTAGAAATGAGTATATCCAGATTCTCTGTTAGAATGTCATTGCCCCCCTGGGAGTGGGGCAGGGTTTCACATGCCTCCAGGATGGCTTTCTTTCCTTCCTCACCCACATCCGTTCACAGAACCAGTCCTGCATATTTTGCCCTTGTAGCTAGGAGTATAATACATGGTTCTCAGTGTAGCTTTGCCTGCGCTGTCCCTCTCCTTCTTCCTCTCTGCCTATCTCCTCCATGTCCCTCACCCTCTCTGCTAGTTACCTCAGTGGACAGCTAATGCCTCTTAACTTTTTGTGTCAGACGTCAGTGCACAGGAACCACCGATCTTATTAAGCTCTCCACGTGGTTCCTCTGAAGCCCATCTTTAGGCTTGGAGTGAGGGGGAAAGACCCACAGCTCAGCTTTCCCCACAGAAATCCCCCTCACACATCCTCCTGCAGTTCACTTCTCATAGATACCCTGTGGCTGGCTCCCAGCAAAGATTTTGAGACATCTATTTTAAAATTTCCTCATGACAGTCTCCCAGACATCATGTTAGAGTATGATATCTAATGTATCTTGGCACCTCAGCCAAAATTTCTCATTTTGTTGAGAAAATGCACAGATCTTATTCACATGTACTAAAAATTATCATTTTTGATGTATTAAATAGGTGTGTATAGCCCATGCAATAATTTCAGAACTTTTGATTCTTAACTTGAAATTAGGGCATTTAATAGTTTTGTATTAATTTTGCTTCTATTTGAGAAAAAGTCGAAAAATTGACAACTAGAAAAACCATTGGCATACTGTCTTCTGCCTCATCAAGCAAATGTAAAAAATCCTCATTTTCAGCAAAGTAGATTGATGAGGGGAGGGAGGGTAGAGAAGAGAAAAATTTCCAGAACTCATTGATTATTCATTCTCATTTTATGGAACTTTGTTTAATAGATTCCCATTAAATTTTTATTTTATTTCATTTTTATTTGTATCATTTTTGTCATTTATCCAGTGCTGCTCTCTCTGTCAAAATCATTTGTAAGACTTCCAAGAATTGGATTATTGCAAAAATAGAATCCCAACTTCTCATTCTGTTTTAATAGTATATTACTTCATATATCTGCCAGAACATAAACATCTTTTCAGAGAGTCCACATTTCTTTTTGGCTTTTGTTTTTAAATATAGCAGTTATAATATGAATAGCTTTTTATTTCTGCTTTTGATCTTCTGAGCTTTATCAGCTGGGGGTTATCCAACTGAGTAATGTTGTTCAAGTAGGACGTTTAGGCCATGGAATGCACTTCCCCTAACAGTAATGTATCGATATTTACTCACTTTGACCTCACATGTTGCTTTCATGTTATTTGTATTGTGAACAAGACAAATGGTTTACTATCTTTTCATCCTCTGCTGTAGGATTTTGTTGATTTTTCAACCATAAACTCTGCACCAACACTGGCAGTGTCTTTTGGAATGGGGATAGGCTAGGGTAGGATGTGTAGTTTGAAAAAGCATTCAACTATTTATTCTAATAAATAAAACTTTTTCACATTTAGAAAAAGTGAAAAAATACAGAATTTAAATAATCAGTATTTTTTAATCATTCCATAAAATGCCGTTGAACCAAGTCTTAGCTGATGTGAATACATAAGGAGCCCTTCCATCTTCAGGTTTTATCAGAATCTTGAGTATTAATTAAGAATGTCAAAATGCAATTATAGCTGCTAGCTATTGCCATTAATGTAAGCTCCGTGGGGAAAGTTAAATCTGTACCTTACCGACTCTGAAAGCAAAGCTGTGTATGCCAGTGTAAAGCTCCAGTATTTTTCAGGGAACACTGTTCCTTAGAGGGAAATTGTTAACTCAGCTCATGAAGTCTTAAAGTTGGAGTTCTGTTTTCATTGTTTTCTGCTATTAAGCATGCAATAAAGACTTCTGTGGACTGTCAAGTTTATATAATCTCTCTTTTATCTGATAATTGCTAACAAGACAACTTGATATTCTTTTGGAATGGTATGTGACATTTTGCTGAAAAGAAAAAGCTGTTAACAAGCTTGAAGAGGGGCGCCTGGGTGGCTCAGTCCGTTAAGCGTCTGACTCTTGGTTTCGGCTCAGGTCCTGATCTCACAGTCATGGGATTGAGCCCCTCGTGTCAGGCTCTGTGCTCAGCACAGAGTTGGCTTCAAATTCTCTCTCCCTCTTCCTCTCCCTCCCCCTCTACCCCTCAATGCACACACTCACTTCTCTGTCTCTCTTAAATAAATAAATAAGTAAAATCTAAAAAAAAAAAACAAGCTTAAGGAGAAGTTCTCAAGACTACAGAGTCTTAGTAACAAGGTTGCAAACTGGTGCACGAAATCAAGTGGAAGTAAAATGGAGATGAAGTCTTAATTTCATCAAGACTTATATAACCACTCCTCGGAGGAATCCAAAAGGGACATTTCTCAGATAGTTTGTGAAATTCACAGTGGAAAGTTCCAAAGGAAGTATTTTATGTAACATGACATACATCACATCCTTTTGCAGAATGCTGTCTTAATGCTTAGTTCTATACACTGTGGTCTCAGTTTAAGTAATTCCAGTGCATCTTTGCTTTCTTCTTCTGCCAGTTTTTTTGCTCACTCACTCTCAACAACATAGACCCAGGAACGTGTATACACCCCTGGGTGATTACAAACCCAATTTAGAAAGCCCTTAGACCAGAGATTCAAAACCATTTAACTAGAATAATGTGCTTTTTATAGGTCCTTGGAACTATTTTCACTCAAGAACCCAACTCTACTCTTTAATGAAGGATCTTTCGTTTTCCTTGTTAAATGAAATCTACCTTTAGCATTTTTGAACATGTACATTATTATCATGTATAGAATCAGATAAAAATATTACAGTGTAAAAATAAAATCTCTGGTGCTCCTCCTTGCCTAATATCTTCTGGCCTAAGGTTACCTGCTGTGGGTAAGTAACCACAACTGACAGGTACTCTTTTGGCAGTAGGATCATGTTTGGCCAAGCTTGATAAGCTTTTGCATTTCTAAAATCACAGTGTGAGTAGAGTAGGCTTTTGTGAGCCATCATGGTGACCTAGAAGTGTTTCTATGGAGAAATCTTTGAACTTCTATAAGATGAAATTATAAGAATGAAATTTTGTATTATAAGCATAGCATAACACATTTATAAATGGTAACCTATATTACCATACTATTGCCTTAAGGTAGAAACTTGGATTCTAACAATGTCAGTGATGATATAAAAAAGGGCTACAAGCAACTACCATAAACAAAATAATACTCATAAAACTGAGAAGGGAGCTAAAAACATCATTTGGTATATTGATAATGGGGAAATCATGATAACATTGACAATATCTTAAAAGAAGAATAAAGAGAATTTTTGTTTTAGGCATGTTGAGTTGGAGATGATAGCAAGTCAGCTGGAGATAAGATGAGAGCAAAGGAGAAAAGTCAGAACTGAAGGTAGAGATTTGGGAACTAACCACAAAGAAATTATATAAGTCCATAGCCCTTTATCTGCAGTTCTAAAATCCAAAACGCTCTGAAGAGAGGTTTGTTTATTTTTAAGGACTCATTTGGCTGTAAAACTTGAACTAGTATGAACTCATTAATAGCCTTTATCCCATTTAGTGTTAATATTCTGTCATTTAGCTGCTTTTTGAAATATGGATTTGATTATAGGTTATTTTCCCCATGCTCCATTGAGAGTATTGCATAATGTATAGTATATAGACCATGTTATCTTTGTAAATTCTGAATTCCAAAATTTATCTGGCCTCAAGGATTTCATGGAAGAAGTTACAGACCTATAGTTGAAGTCATAAGAGCAGATGTAATGTCAGAGAAAGAGAAAAGAAAGACAACTTCAAAACTGATCCTTGATGTGCTGCTTTATTTCTATATGCAGGAAAATAGAAAATTGAAAGGAAACATACCCAGTTGATAAGTACCAACAGAAATGACCCCAAAGAACTTTATTTCCTTCTCCCCATTTTTTTTCTGAAAGTGGTTTTTTCTCCCCCAGCAGTATAAGGTATAGAATTTAAAAATATGAATGTTAAAAATGCATGAATTTGGAGAAGGTAGATTTTTAGATAATCATGTATAGCAGAATGTATGCATGGATCACAGAATTGCCTAGAATTTGTCTTTTCTGTGAGACTATCGTAATATAAAATGAGAAATAAATGTTTTTCTCCCACAAATTGTATGGGGTCACCATACTGTTCATAACAGTGAAATTGAACCAGGAAATCATGATCCTCACCATGATTGCAGTTAGTTGCTTGATCACAAACAAGCCAGTCATTTCACCTATTTTACTTCAGTTTCCCATCCGTAAGTACAGGGAGTACATGATTTCAAACTTGCCTTCAAATTTAAGATACTATCCTAACCTACTAAAATAATAATTCTTTACGAAGAATCATAAACATGAGAATTGTTACTGCTCCATAAGTAGTAAAATGTGAGGAAAAGAATTTTTAAATGATAAACAAGAAATAGCTCTTTGAAGTAGTCTACTTAATGGGATAATACTATTACATATTTGTATTGATTTTTTTTTTAATCCATCTTTCAGTTTCACTGAATGTTTGATTTCCTTTTGTTTTGGGTACGATTTTATATTTAAATTCTTCCTCATAATGTACATACAGTGCTTTGTCCAATGTTACTTTTTATAAGTTCATGACATATTTCATAAACCTTTAAGCACATAAAATTTCCATCCTATATAAGGTAATGTAAGTGTTCATCTAAAATAATTTCAGAATCAAAGGAATTTGACCTGTTGAACCAGAGTAAAAGCATCAGACCTTAGGATTTTTAAAACTAGAAGGGAATTCTATGATGATCTAGTCATGCTGGTTTTATAGTTAAAGAAAGTAAGACCTAGAGAAGTAAATGGCTCACTAATGGTTATGTGCTAGGTAATGGCAGGGTGAGTTCATTGTTTTCCCATCACATTTTATAGCAGTATTATGTTGCAGAGAGAATAGTCAAGGGGGACTGGTAGGGTTCTGCCATGGTATGGTAGGATAGCCGTGCTTACTGAACTATAAAACGCTGTTTACACATGACATTACATATATATTGCATCATGTCATCCTTCCAGCAGCTGTGTAAGATAGGTCCTACAATCCCTATAGGGAGGAAGAGACCGAAGCGCATAAAAGCTAAAAACTTCCCTAAACGGCTCATTGAAGCAGAGATATTTATAAGCCAGGGTTGTCTGGTTCTTACCCTGTGCAGCATGGCCTCCAAGACCAAGACAAGTGAAGAGGGGAAGAGATTCTGAAAGAATATGTCATGCAAGTAAGGTCATTATATTAGGAAACTCAAAAATTCAATATTTTCTGCTTGGGCAGATTTGGGGAGCTCCATGATTATGTGCTTCTTGAACAAGCAGACTTCTTCCTGGGTGCCTACCACTTGAAAAGCACTGGTGGGAAAACAGAGAAGTGTAAGACATGGAGGAAGCATAAAACAGTTCCCTTATTGTCACTCAAACAGTTTTAAAGCAATCACAAATATATTGATAACATGTATTTTATAAATTTTATTTTCTAATTGTAAAAGTAATATATATTAGTTTTAGGAATGCAGAAAGGAATAAAGAAAAATTACTAATAATCCCACCATAAGTGAGTTAGCACATGTTCCATTTTGGTGTGTTTTTTTGACAAGAGTAATTACTGTGACATGTTCTCAAAAAATTAATACCTGTGTGTAATGAAAATCTTGATGTGAATATACACTAAATCCAAAATATGCCTCACACGTCTTCAGTAAAGGGTAGTTTACTTGAAGATAGAATTGAAGGATTATGCCTGCTAGGAAATCTATAAGAGTGATGGTAAGCAAAGTAGCTGTTATTCACAGTACAACGAAAGCCTCAGTGTTTATAACTGTTTAAGCCTACTGACTAACAGTGGTGCGATACGAAATCACATTCAACATTCCCATGAGTCTGAATCATCCACTGTGGAATGAGGATTGAAAACAGAACTGGTGCTCCCACACCAGAAAAGTCATAACACCCATGATTTCAACCATGGAACTTTTCTGCCTTGAAGTCTGGTTTGTATCTCTCTCTTTTTGAATGTTGTGAATTTCAGAGCTCAAGTTTCATTATAATTTGAACAATCTATTTTCCCTGGTCTGAAATGACACCACAAATGAATATTGATATGACTATAATTCTTTTGCGTGTTCCTTCAGGTGAATCAGTTCAGACAGCTGTATTCCAAAGTCATCAATGATAAACATGATGATGTTATGGCTAAGTTTGGCGCTATTTTGGCGCAGGGCATACTGGATGCAGGTAAATGTTAAATCTTCCAGATGTATTTATCTATTTAAACTAAATCTGATGAAGTAACTATCTGCTCTAACTATATGACATAGTAGAAATTGGGGAAATTATTTAGGGAATTATTGGGGAAATTTTCTGGGGGAAAATTATTCCTGGAGAAAATGTGGAGCCTATAGTTCATAGAACTTGACACTGAATTAGCTGGGTTTCATCAGTCCCTAGTTTACATTCAAGTCCATTTTCTATGGGTTTTGACAAATGCATAAATATATATCCACCATTACATCATAGGCAATAGTTTCACTGCCCTAGAAATCATCTGTGTTCCACCTTTTCATCTCTCCCTCCTTCCGCACAACCCCCTGGCAACCACTGATCTTTTTATTGTCTCTAACTTTAGTTTTCCCCTTTCCAGAGTATTATACAGCTGGAATCATACAGTATGTAGCCATCTGAGATTGGCTACTTTGGGTAATTGGTTTTTAAAAAGGACTTAGGAGTGACATTTTACTACTCCATAATCTATTTATTTCTTTTAGCTGCCAGTTTTTGAAGTTTGTAGTTTTATATACAACCCTTTACTTGTTCATTCAGTACAACTACAGTTTTTTGCTGGTTTCTGCTATGTTATTTGTGAAGAATTAGGGGAGGATACTTCTCTGTTTCAGCGTTATTCTACCATCTTTACTAGAAGTCCATTCTCTCCCTCCCTTCCTTCCTCTTTCAGCCCCTCTCTCCCTTCACTGCCTTTTGTATCTCTGAATTGTCGTAGACCAGTGAAGTTTTGATGCTTCTTTCCGTTTCTCTTTTTGTTTATTATGTTTGTTGCCTTACTTATTTTAGTGTTATTTAGTACATAAAAGTTCTGTACTCTTGTCTTCACTATTACAAGCAAAATTATTCTCACCCCTTTTCACTTTGTCAGTATCCTGTCCTCCTACAAACTGTGCTGCAACTGCATTAGAAAAAACATGTAGTACTGCAGTCTGGCTCGCAGAAGTTAGTGTTAATGGAGGAACTCTGGAGGGCAACTTCAAAGGAATGAGTGAAGTTGAAGTTTATGAGAATTCACTTGATGATTTGGTCTCTTCAGGGAGAAGAGCCAGAGATTAAGGTTTATGATTGAAGTTTGTAAAACTGTGTAAACATTACCAACAGGATAAACTCTTTCTTGTTTTGTATTAAATCTCAGACTGTTAGAACAAAAGGCTAGTTTAGTTTCTAAGTCGGAAGAAAATGGGTTTCATTGAAATAAAGGGAATTCAGCTTCAAAACTTAAAATAAGTATCTCTGTTCTCTGAGCAGCCTTCCCCTCTCCTCTGCCCTACCCAGCCTTCACCCTGGGTTAGGTGCCGTGCTTAGGTGTATGTCCTCACTAGTGCCCAGGTTTCGATCGCATAATGCTTGTATACCCTAGTTTAATTATCTAGTTATTTGTCGTCTCCACTAGGCTAGAGGCTCCTTGGGATCTCTTTTCAGTATTTTGTTCAAAATTCTCAATATATAGTAATCATTTGGTGAATGTGGAGGTTAAGAGCAACAAGCAGACAATAAATGCATATAACTCATCTCTGCTGGAAAAACAAAACTAAAGGATACCTGATTTTTTCCAAATAAAATCTAGATTATTTGATTCTTACAAAAAATTAAAGTGCTTTTTTAGTTTAGTAAAAGTAGTACTCACTTCCTGACTGATGTAGCAGCATCTGGGAAAGACTGAGGTTAAAAGAAGTGAAATGTGAGCAATAGGGATCCAGAATTGGAATTCAAATTAGGAGGGTGACTAGGTGCAGACAAGCTCCATTTTTATAGGGTATCTTTTTTTTTTTTTTAAGATTTTATTTATTTGAGGGGCGCCTGGGTGGCTCGGTCGCTATTAAGCATCTGCCTTGGGCTTAGGTCATGATCCCTGGACCCTGGGATCAAGCCGCACGTCAGGCTCCCTGCTCGGCGGGAAGCCTGCTTCTCCCTCTCCCACTCCCACTGCTTGTGTTCCCTCTCTCGCTGTGTTTCTCTGTCAAATAAATAAAATCTTAAAAAAAAAGATTTTATTTATTTGAGATCACAAGTGGGCCGGGGGGGGGGGCGGTGGGACAGAGGGAGAAGCAGACTCCCTGCTGAGCAGGGAGCCTGATGCAGGACTCGATCCCGGGACCCTGGGATCATGACCTGAGCCAGAGGCAGACACTTAACTGACTGAGCCACCCAGGTACCCTTTATAGGGTATCTTATATAAACTAAAAGACTGGTGTCTCAGAGTTCTGGGGTCCAATACTAACACTGTTATAGAGACCAAACATATTAACATGTTTGCCTGCCTAACAAAATTTTGGACAAAATCCAGATTACAGTCTACTTTTAAAAACAGAATTACCTGGTAACTCTGGACCTACACCCTTAGTAACATGTCCTCTTTAAATACGACATGAACTTTCCAGTTGGTTCAGTTCCCCACTGCTTCCAGTCAGGTTTTCTCATTCGTTTGCCTGACTGGTTCCTAAAGGCATTCAAATTTGCAACCCCAAATAGCCTCCTAGAATCTCAGCCTTTCTAGGGCCCAGTAAAGATCCAGTTGTCTAACTGATGCTTGCATCTTAGTTCTTATTCACTAGTTTTCAGACTGTGTTTCTCTGTACTCCGTCAAGGGATAGTCTAGGGGATGTGGCAAGAAGTGGATGAACAAGACAGGCTGAGCCATTCAGCCTCTCAGCAGCCCAACTTCTGATTAAATGGAATTAACTTTGATTTCATTGTTTCACATACTGTGCTTCCTCAAAAAAAAATTTCAGTTGAATCAAAGATTGGAGATATTAAAGGTTTTCTTTTGTTATAGTGGTAGAGCTCTAGTTCAAGTGCTCAAGTCCAAACCCTCATTTTGCCAATGGGAAAAGAGACTTTTAGAGGTAAAGTGATTTGTCCAAGGTCACAAGGCTAGTTAATGTCGGAGCTGCCTACATTCAGATAACTAAAGCAGAAAGAGTAAAACTAAGCAAATAATATCTACCTCTTGCCTCTTTGCTATTGTTTGCAAATATGTTGTGTACTGAAATTTTATTTTTTGTTAGCACATTAAAAACCCCAGTGTATAATATAGATTAATATTTAATTTAGCATTCAGTTTTGATATCCTTTAGGCTTTTTTGGAAAATTCCTACTTATATAGAAAAAAAGTCTAGATTACCCTGATTCCAATTAAAATACATCACTTCCTGTACCTCTGAAACAAACAATACATTATATGTTAAAAAAAGAAGAAGAAGAAGAAGATAGTAGGAAGGGGAAAATGAAGGGGAGGAAATCAGAGGGGGAGACGAACCATGAGAGACTGTCGACTCTGAGAAACAAACTGAGGGTTTTGGGGGGAAGGGGGGTAGGGGGCTGGGTTAGCCTGGTGATGGGTTTTAAAGAGGGCATGTACTGAATGGAGTACTGGGTGTTATACGCAAACAATGAATCATGGAACACTACATCAAAAACTAATGATGTAATGTATGGTGATTAACATAACATAATAAAATAAAATTTAAAAAAGAAATACAGCGCTTCCAGTTTTGGAGACCCTAGATAGTTCACTGGCTAACAGATTCCAGCTACTCCGTATCAGGTTTTATGAACTGTATTCTTAAAATAATCACCAAATGCTTCCCTAGTGCAATACTTAAAAATCTTTATTATTACCCTACTGGATTCATGTTCATGGTTTCTCCCTTTTTCTACAGGTGGTCATAATGTCACAATCTCCTTGCAGTCCAGGACTGGGCACACCCATATGCCTTCTGTAGTTGGCGTCCTTGTCTTTACCCAGTTCTGGTTCTGGTTTCCTCTTTCACACTTTCTGTCATTGGCTTATACCCCTACCTGTGTCATTGGCCTTAACAAGGACTTAAAGGTATGTTCGTGAGACCTTAGTTTTAAGTGTATCTTCTTCACTCTATCCTAACCACCCACTCACAAGAGTTTTCGTGAAATTTTAAAGATGAGTTGTCATCTCACCAATATTGTATTTCCCCTTTAAATTGAGTCATGACCTTGTTGAGTGGAGTGTGTCAGTGGAAGTTTTGAAAATCAAATCACCTTACTAACTGTAACCTTGGATGAATCAGTTGAGAGGGAATGGTAAGAGAGGGGGCAAATACAAAAATATGAAAAAGCTTTATAGATCACTCTTTATCAATTTTATTTAATACTGAAATTCTTTGGAGCTTTTGAGGGATTTCATGCAGATAAATGACATGATGAGATTTGCATTCTAGAAACAACATTCTGGTACCATTGGAAATCCATTACAGTGAATGCTATTGCAGTAAGCTGGGCAAGGAAAAAAGGTGACCTGAACTAAATCTTAGGAGGGAGTGAAGGTTTGAGACAGGGCCATGTTTCAGTTTTGTGATGCTAGAGCATTTGATGGAAGAAAGGATTACTGCTAAAGGGAAAAGCAAAATGGGAGGATGTCTCTCTGGTAGTGGCAGAAAACGAGGCCAACATTGAGGAGCCAAGGAATCTGACAGAAACTGGTCACATGACTCAAGGACTGAAGGTGATACATCCCCTGTCATCACACCATCCTTTTTTTTTTTAAATGGGGTTTGTGCTTAGGTCTTTCTCAGTCCTGTGGCCTGATGATTCAGCTGTTCTTCTGTCTTCTCAGAGGCCTTTTGACCTTCAACAACTCTTAGATCTGGTCATCACTTCTGTTAAAATGTCCTATTAAATTTCAAAGTGGAAAAATTGGGGGCCAGAAAATGGCTGATAAAGACTGAGTATTTCGTCCAGTTGACTTTTTTTTTCCAGTGTAGCTATACAGCCATTTATCCCGAAGTGTTTCAGTATAAAACTACTCACATTTATAAATATTGAGCAGTTTTATCTTTCAAAATAAGAATCTTTAGGTTTTCCAATCCCTAACCTTTAACACTGTGGTTAAACATCCTATATAATCTCTAGGGACTTTTTCCTCTAACACACAATTTTCTGATCTGTTTCCATTCTTTACAAGGAAAGTGGGATGAAAAAGACAAGATTCCTTATCCTAGTGAATATGATGCCTATTACCATTCTCTATCAGTGTAAATTGGGGAAATAGAGAAAAATTCAGACTAGTGAAGTTAACACCTAGTCAATAAGTAACGTGAAGCTGACTTTTTCCATTAGGCTCGTGTTAGACTCTTGTTAGGGATTATGTGGTATAGAAACTGTACAGACTTGTATATATTGTTGGAGTGGTATAAGGAGGGTACGTGGAAGTTAGGTATGCAGGTTAAGTAGCCAAATAACACTTTACAGAGGAGGTAACAGTTGATCTGAGGCTTACACCATGAGTGGGACTTAACCCACTGAAACAGGGTACACGTCCAGTAAAGATGAGATCAAGGGGTGCCTGTGAACAGGCACAGAGCTTCAGGAAAGTATGGAACTGCAGGTAGTTCTGTAAAGCACTTCAAAACAAGTTCAGTGTAAGAAGACGGATGCCTATAAGGGAGTACTGTAAGAGAACATTTAGCCTGGATTGAAACTTCTGACATTCCTTTGTATTGTATGCTTGATAAGAGCATAGAATTCTTAAATCTTGATTTGGGTTTTTTTAACGTAAGGGGGAAAATTCTTTTATTTCTTCAGATGCCGAAAGTTCAGTATAAATCAAACTGTAAACCATCCACATTTGCATATCCTGCCCCTCTGGAAGTACCAAAAGAAAAAGAAAAGGAAAAGGTAGGTTCTTCGTTCCCTTGAGCAGCACTTATACTTATATATAGAAGCTACTTAGTGTTTTACTTGGGTTTGTTTTAAGTATTTTTATGTTTTAGGGGCCCTGGGTGGCTCAGTCGTTAAGCGTCTGCCTTCAGCTCGGGTCATGATCCCATGATCCTGGGATCGAGCCCCGCATCAGGCTCCCTGCTCCGCGGGAAACCTGCTTCTTCTCCCTCTCCCACTCCCCCTGCTTGTGTTCCCTCTCTCACTGTCTCTCTTTGTCAAATAAATAAATAAAATCTTTTAACAAAAAAATAAATAAATATTTTTGTGTTTTAAATTAGATATTTTCCCAAAGTAGTACTCTTATGGTAAAATCTAACATTACACAAGAATGTAAAGTAAAAGCGCTTTTGCTTTCCTGGTCATCCAAGTCCCATGTGGCAGGAATCATAATTTGAACCCCTCCAAATGTTTTCTCCACACATATCAATACTTTTTACACCATAGATAGAATTATTTTTGACACAGTGTTCTGCAGCTTACCGTTTTTACTTTTAACAATTAATCTTTAAGGGGCGTCTGGCTGATTCAGTCAGTAGGGTGTGCAACTCTTGATCTCAGGGTCCTGAGTTCAAGCCCCACATTGAGCATGGAGCCTACCTAAAATTAAACAAAAAATAATAATCTTTAAAAATTTCAATGTATATGGATCTCATATTTGCCCCAGGCAATCCTTTTATGTATATATAACATTATTTGTCTTCTTGGTTCCTCATCTGATGGACATTTTAAGGTGATTTCTAATTAATCACTGTTACAAATGAGATTAGAGTCTTTATACACGTATATTTATGAACTTGTACAAGTGTATCTGTAGGTTAGGATATTAGATGTGATTGATTAAAAGTAATGTACATTATTTATTTTCATAGGTATTAACTAAATTTACTTTCAAAATGAGTATAACCAACTTATATTCCTCCGTCAGCCGTGTATGAGAACACTCACGTGCGCTACATCAAACTATAGTGAATCAGGGAGCTGCACTTACTCTGCACGTTTTCTCAGTAAAATTATCCTTTCTGATACCTTATATTTAAGAAAATGCTTTTTTTCCTCTCAAGGTAGTGTTCCATATTAGCCAGTTGTTGATTATTTGCTATAAACTTTGTGTGTAAGTGGGGATATTTATGTAATTGAGCAAATTTGAGGGTGGTGGTTGATGATTATCCTCTGGCAACATCTCGTCTCATTTCATCAGCTCTGTTTCAAACCCCCAGCTTTTGGGTCAGAAACAAAATCAGCTTTATACCAATACTACCAGCCTTTCAAAGTCTTTTTCATCCTCGATTTCAGTGAGACCCATCAGGAAGGGTAGTTCTAGGCCAACCACTTACCCACTGTGTATTACAATTGTAGGACATCAAATTCAGTAAGAATATCTTTATGACCAGGTTTGGAGGAAATTTTTATGTTTTCTAGTGCTTTCCCTATAAAGTAAAAAAGGGTGTAGCACCAAATATCCCAGAATCTCATGATAGTGAATCCACATTTAAGGTAGGCTAAGATTAAAAAAAAAGAAAAATTAGAATATTATTGGATACAGCCTCCAGGAACTAAAGAGTCACCTGAGGACCATAGTAGTAAATAATGTGAATAAATGTGCTGCTTGCTTTTCCCATTTATTCCCTAATGATTTGATTTTTTATGATATTTACTGCCTGGAAACAAAGTAGTATTGTAGAACCAAGTTCTCTTTGGGCTTGTACCTTTGTATGTAAGTAAGAGATTATAATTACCCTGTTCACTTCTTCTAGGTTTCCACTGCTGTGTTATCTATTACCGCCAAGGCTAAAAAGAAGGAGAAAGAAAAGGAGAAAAAAGAGGAGGAGAAAATGGAAGTGGTAGGTATAATTTGGTGGTCATGTGGGTTGATATATCTATCTCTGTCATGGTCCAGATTCTTCCTTAAGTGAACATTACCATACCTTGCTCTTGGCTTCCCTTAAATAAGTATCCTGTTCCAAGCAGAGACTCCTGTAGTTTTAATTGGAAGGTACTTGAGTTCTTGGAGAAAATGACAACTAAAATGGGTTTTGAAGGGCGGTATAGAATTTTCAGACAATGAGATGATGGTGGGAGAAAAAAAGGCCCTTTCAAGCAAAGAGAATATCATTTATTTAAATAGACCCTCTTTTTCTGGTCTCTCTTGGTAGAAAAACCTCATCCTTTTAAAACCAAGTTACATAGCATTCTCACCCCTAAGCACAGTTACTCTCTCCATCCTCTTGAGTCTAGTATGACTTTGGTTGTACTTTAATTATATCTAATCCTAGCTAACTTTTGTACCTAAGAGTTGCTCAGTAAACTTATCAAACATTATTCAGTGATATAGAAGAGAAGTGAACCTTTGTTGGGCTATTTTTTAATATTTTCCAGGATGAAGCAGAAAAAAAGGAAGAAAAAGAGAAGAAAAAAGAACCTGAGCCAAACTTCCAGTTATTGGATAACCCAGCCCGAGTTATGCCTGCCCAGCTTAAGGTCCTGACCATGCCAGAGACCTGTAGATACCAGCCTTTCAAACCAGTAAGTTATCGATGGCCCTTAGCTATATACCAGTGGGATATTAATTCATGGGACAGTGGTATATTGACAGAGGAGGATAAATCTCCAGAGCGTTGGAGAAAGCTCTCTAGTACAAATAAATCTCTATATGAAGAATAGTATAAATGTATTTTTGTTTGTAACTGTTCTGTCTGGTTTAAAAGGTAAGTGCATAAAGCAATCATAAGTTGATGTACACACACTGTATAAGAGTGTAAAGTTAAAATATGCATTAAATATGTCAAGGTTCTGGCTGCTATAGCAGATTGCCACCTACCATTAAAACTGAATGGCTTAAACAACAAACATTTCTCACAGTTCTAGGGGCTAGAAGTCCAAGATTAGGGTACCAGCATAATTGGGTTCTTAGTAAAGGCCCTCATCCTACATCTTCTCATTGTATCTTCATATGACAGAGAGAAAGGAAACTAGCTCTCTTCGTGCCTCTCCTTATAAGGGCACTGATTTCATTACTAATGAGGTCTTCACCGTGGTGATTTAATTGCTTCCTAAAGGCCCACATCCTAATACTATCACGGAGTTAGGATTTCAACATATGAATGGCAGGGTGGAGAGACAAAAACGTTCAGTCCAATAACACAAAGGAGTAGGGAAATACCGGTATATTGAAGTGTAGTTTTTGTATACTATTGAAATTCATTTACTCTTTTTCAGTGAGATTAAGCTGTTAATTGCAACCCCAAATGGAACCACCCAACAAAATAACTCAAAAAGTGACTTAAACAAGAAAATTAAACTCAGTACACTAGAAAATATCTGTTTAATACCAAAGAAGCCAGCAGTGGAAGAATTGAGGAACAAAAATATATAAGACATACAAAAAACAGCAAAATGGCCGGAGCAAATCCTAGTAATCACATGAGATGTCTTTTTTTTTTTTTTTTTTTTTAAGTGTCCACTAGGGCCAATGTGGGCCTAGAACTCATGACCCCAAGATCAAGAGTCTCATGCTCTACCAACTGAGCCAGCCAGGGGCCCCTAATCACATAAGATGTAAATGGACTAACCGTACCAGTTAAAGGGCAGAGATCAGCCAAATGGATAAAAAAGAAAATGATCCAACTATATGTTCTCTACCAGAGACACACTTTATGTGACACCTGGCTGGCTCAGTCCGTAGAGCATGCAACTGCTGATCTCAAGGTTGTAAGTCCAAGCCCCACCTTGGGTGTAGAGATTACTTAGAAAGTAAAATCTTAGGGATGCCTGGGTGGCTCAGTCAGTTAAGCATCTGGCTTCAGCTCAGGTCATAATCCCAGGGTCCTAGGATCCAGTCCCACATCGGGCTCCTTGCTCAGCAGGGAGCCTGCTTCTCCCTCTGCCTACAGCTCTCCCTGCTTGTGCATTCTCTCTGGCATATAAAGAAATAAAAAATCTTTTAAAAAAATAAAATCTTAAAATACACACACACTTTAGATTCAAGGATTGAAGTAGATTAAAAGCAAAAGGTTGGGAAGATATCCCACGTAAACAAGTAACTAAAAAAAAGCTGGAGCAGCTATACCAACATCAGACAAAATATACATTAAAAGAAGAATTTGGGGGGCACCTGGATGGCTCAGTCCTTTAAGCATCTGCCTTCGGCTCAGGTCATGATCCCGGGGTCCTGGGATTGAGCCCCACATTGGGCTCCCTGCTCAGCAGGGAGCCTGCTTCTCCCTCTCCCTCTGCCTGCAGCTCCCCCTGCTTGTGCTCTCTCTGTCTGTCAAATAAATAAAATCTTAGAAAGAAAGAGAGAGAAAGAGAAAGAAAAGAAAAATTGTTGCTGGAGACAACATTTTACAGTGGTAAAAAGGTCATGAGCGCCTGGCTGGCTCAGTCAGTAGATCGCGCAACTCTGGATCTCAGGGTTGTAGGTTCAAGCCCCACGTTGAGTATAGAGATTACTTTTAAAAAATAAAATAAAGGGCGCCTGGGTGGCTCAGTTGTTAAGCGTCTGCCTTCGGCTCAGGTCATGATCCCAGGGTCCTGGGATCCGAGCCCCACATTGGGCTCCCCACTCAGCGGGAAGCCTGCTTCTCCCTCTCCCACTCACCCTGCTTGTGTTCCCTCTCTTGCTATGTCTCTCTCTGTCAGGTAAATAAATAAAATCTTTTAAAAAAATAATAAAAAACCTAAACCATGTTGCTATAAGGCTCTTCCTTTATGTTGTATATATTGCAGGATTTGTGTTGGATTATTTCATTCCAGTTGAGCATGAAATAGTACAGTTATAACCTAGAGCCATCTGTTTCCAAAATACAGGAAGTCCTTATTGTGAACATAAGTATTTTCTTGTTTGGTAGACGATTCATCTTTATTTGGTCCTTTAGAAGGCTCAGGTAAACTTTTAGACCATGGAGGATTAGGACAGTGGCCTTGTACTATGATTGTTCTTGGGTGCATATTGGTAGTAAAGGCAGGGTCCATTCATAAAATGGCTCTCTTCAAGGAAAGCAGACTTTTTAAGGGGAAGAGTTAGAAAATAATGTGTATGAGTATGTATGTCGAGAGAAGGGAAATAGTGCAGAAATTCATGAAGGCACACCAGTTTTATAGCATGGCAGGGCAAAGTTCCAATGAATAAAAATCAGATTAGGTTGAACTGCAGAGCTATTTTGTATATATATGAATCCTCTTACTAATGTGGTTGTGCTTCTTTTCCTTCCCAGTAATTTGCTTTGGTAGAAATAATGTTTTTCCAGATGTGCCCTGTCACTTGACTGATTTAATTACAGAGAGTAGCTTTCCATTTCCTTTGACACAGGCAAGCAAATAGAGTAAGATTAGCACACAGAGATGGGTGAATAGTTTGGTGTGTGAATTTACGTCTGCTGATATGTTTGGGAGAGGGCTAATAAAATGCTCCTACACTCTACTTTTTTGTTTCCCATCTACTACGTCCTCGTCTTGTATTGCAAGGATTTGTAGATTAAAGTGAAAAACATTCAGTGTATCTGTGATATATGTTGTTCACTCTGTCATTCTGAAATCGCTGGAAAGAAATTGGCTTTTCATTTGTAGATTGTCTTTTGTATCCAAAATGATAGTTTTCTCACAAGTACTAAAGTATCTATTAGAGTAGTGTGCTTCTCAAACTTTAATGTGCATACATATCACCTGTGGGTCTTGTTAAAATGCAGATTCTGTAGATCTAGGTTGGGCTATGTTTTCTGCATTTCTAACAAACCTCCAGGTGATAATGATGCAGCTGGTCCAGGAGCACGTGTTGAGTAGCAAGGCATTAGAATGCCGTATTTGGACAGTAAACTTTCTCTCTACAGTCATACCGCGGCAGTGCTGGAAATACTGCTCTTCAGCTGGGACACATCGTCTAAAAAGAAGAGTACCATATGTTCTGCCACTGGGCTAAGTTTTTAAATACTCCATATAGATTACAATTTTCTGTATCCTTTGTAATGTACGTTGATTGTTGCTTTCCTCGTTTAGTTCTCACACTAACTGAAGGAATGGAAGAGGAAGATCTTATTAGCCGCTTCTTGCAGCTGAACAGTTTGTCAGGGTGTAGCATCACACAGGCGCACATGCATGGGTTTCCTGGCTCTTGTCTGGTGAAGTGAGGTTCTATTCGAGTTCTTTACTTCCAGATCATTTAAGTAGTCTTAAGGTACCATTTAACAAATACGCCCTCTAGACCCTGGAGCAGTCTGAAAAATATGAGTGGAATTTGTGCTTCTTCATTCCTTGCTCTGTGTTCACAGCTCTCCATTGGAGGCATAATCATCCTGAAGGATACCAGTGAAGACATTGAAGAACTGGTAGAACCTGTGGCAGCCCATGGCCCAAAAATTGAGGAAGAAGAACAAGAGCCAGAACCTCCAGAACCATTTGAATATATTGATGATTAAGGACCAGAGGTATGTGTAGAATAAAATTGTGTATCAAGGGAAATCTGTTTGTCAATACATCTTAAATGTTTCCGACAGAGACATCGTGTCACTTTTTCCATTCCTTTTGTGCTTAATCCCTATTTACCTACATGGTATTAAAATTTCCCCTCTTTTTGACTTCTTCAGCATACATAACCTCCAATTCCTTTTTCTTTCTCCTTTGACTCTCTCTCTACACTCTAGTGTTTGACCAGTGCTGTTCAGAATGGCCAAAAACTATTCTCATAGGTCCACGAGGAGGTAGGGAGCTTGCTCCAAAATGTCAATCTGTTCAACGCTTCTTTCATTGAAAAAGCTTTGATTACCCCCTCACCCCAAAAAGAGTCAACTGAACTGACCGTTTGCTCATGATAGAGTTGATTTACACTTTGATGTGAGCCCCTTATTACAGATCAGTTACAGTTTACGGCCAGCACTGGTTCATGGATCACTGATTCATCTCTCTCTCTCTCTTTCTCTCTCTCTCTCTCTCTTTCTCTCTCTCCCTCCCCCTTTCCTTTGGTGATACTTTTGGCACTAAAAGCTTTAATATTCATTTACTCACTGAAGTTATCAAACATCTAATGTGTGTAAGACACAGTGCTTAAAGGTACTTCGGAGTCAGTTTAGACTATATAACACAAAGCTTTGTCCAGTTGAAAGAGATCATGATGCCAGTATTCTAACAGTGTTGAAGTAGGTCTTTAGATGCAAAAAATTGGAATAATCTAATGTCATGAAATTTTCGTTCTTATTTTCCCCCATTTTTTTGAATCACTTATTTGAAGATGCATATAAACTATATAATGAAGGTTTTCTCATTCTACCCTAGTACAAATACATTGTCGGACAAATAAGAATTTAGTCTTTTCTTCTACTCTTTAAAGAAAATAAGAAGAGTATCATTTATTACATTATGACAAAAGAAAAATACATTTAAATGCCAGGCTGTAAATCTAGCACCATGAGTGTTACACACTGACTAGCAATTAATGAAAGCTTTTACAGAAATCTCAGATAAATATTAAGACAGAGGCCCTACCATTAGTAGGAAAATATATTCAAGCTCCCAAAAGTGTTTGGACCTTTGATTGAGAGAGGGAGATTTATACTAACTTCCTGTCTATGTAAAATTGCTTTAAAAATTATCTTTGGGCCTTTGATGGTTTCCTAAGCTTTACCCAACCAGCACATGGAGGTATTAATACCATAAGCACTCAGTCTCTCTGTGGAACGAACAGGCTCACATTAGCCCCCTCAAGCCTTTCACCACCCTTACCTTACTGAAAAATCTCCTGATTAATAAGTCTTTCGAGGCAATCAACTACAAGATGGCTTAGAAGTTTTTAGTTAGAAATTGGATTTATTTTTTTTTAAAGATTTTATTTATTTATTTGACAGAGTGAGACACAGCAAGAGAGGGAACACAAGCAGGGGGAGTGGGAAAGGGAGAAGCAGGCTTCCCGCGGAGCAGGGAGCCCGATGTGGGGCTCGATCCCAGGACCCTGGGACCATGACCCGAGCCAAACGCAGATGCCTAGCGACCGAGCCACCCAGGCGCCCCAGAAATCGGATTTTTTTTTAAGCAAACTCTAAACCCAATGGGGCTCAAAACTCCTGAGATCCAGTCACATGCTCTACCAACTGAGCCAGCCAAGCACCCCAGAAATTGGATTCTTACATTTTTCAAAAGGATAAAATATTCAGTCTAGAAGGAGTGTAAGAACTGTAGTCTGTCCTATTGAACACTGGCATATTAGGACTGCATAGGCAGGGTTAGGGGCTAGTTTTAGACTTCAACAGCTAGTGGTAAAAAAAATTTTTTTTCTTTTAAACAAAGAATGACCCTAGCTTTTCCCCCGCCCCCCTTCCTTAGGCTCTCATTGCTCATCTGAAGAAGATTGTCCAGGCCCATATTGGAGATGCTTGTGAAGAAATCCATGCTGAGACCTGCTACTCACTGCATGTACCATTGCCTCCGCGCTGACCCGAAGAACCTTGTCTCCAAGTCTTTGGTGAAGAGAAGATATATGACTATTTAGTGTGCTCTTTCACAGAACTTGGTTTTCAAATAAATATATTAAAATCTCCAGATGGACGAGGACTTTTTAATTTGTTTTTCAGCCTCAATTTTAAATAAATGGACCTAATACCCTCCCCCTCCACCATGAATTGCCTAAACCCAGAGAGCTAAATCCTTGATTGCCAGGATGAGTATGCATGATTTTCATATTGATGAAAAAGTTAAACTAGTTTATAGATTATTTGAAAAATAATGGGAAAAAATAAGAAAGAAAAATCAACCTTGTTCTTCACTCCAAGAATCCTCTGCAGTTTTTTTAAATCGGGTTGAGGGTATGAGGTACCATCATTTACTGAAGAAGTCCCTTTAGTGGTCCAAGGGAAATGTCTGTTTAGGCAGCTCAGAAGCATTATTTAAAAGTAAGCTTTGCCTATTGTTTCTTGCTTTTGACCCTGTTGAGGACAACAGGTACAAAATCATTTAGCCACAGGATTTAATAATGAACTCTTTTTTTTCCTTTTTCTACCCTTTTTTGCCATGTGCTTCTTAATTTGAGGTATAATTTAAATATAATGCAGAAATTTGAAGTGTATACAGTTTGATGAGTTTTGATAAGTACAATTTTGATTTCTGTATTATCAGGCCTTAGATGTTGGGCTCTTGAAGTAAGCAGACAGGGTCATTATTTTGACAACCACCCCTTCTCATGTTCTTGGCATGGGGACCTCTCATACACTAGGACATCGCAATAAGAGCTAGATTTGGAGGGTTTGGTGGGGTGTTTTGTGTTTTGGTCTTCAATCATGTAAAATAAAAGTAGGTTATTTCCAGCATTTATATATGAATGGTTCTTTATTCCAGCCTTGATCCTTATACTTTTTAATTTAGGGTATAGCCTTCTGATTCTGTGGGGGGGGAAACTATCATTAGAGGAAACCAGCACCCAGATAGATAAGCCCTATTACAATCATCCACCACAGCTTGGTTGCCAGGTCCAGGTCTAAAGGTTACTAATCCCAAAGGATGGCTCCATTCATTGGTTAATTTCATTGTATCCTCTCCTTTGTAAATTTCTGTTTCCTCAATATCAGATGATTCTATAAAAGAGATTTTCTCATTTCCTAACCCCTCATTAGCTATGTCCTTCCTGTTCAAGCTCTTAACATTGCTTGCATTTCAGACAGAGTTATCTCTAACATTTCCCTTAATATATGAAATGTTTATAAAACAGAAGTCTCTCAATGATGTCACTCTCCAAAATTGAGTTGTCTGGGAGAGGTGGTACATTCACTGACTGGCCTCTGGCCAAAGTCATTAAATTCCTTCCAAACTAATAGATTGAACTTCAGGGAGCAGTCAACACTGGTTCCTGGTAAGCAGTGCAATTTAGGATTTGTAACTTGTTCTTAAATATTGAGGTTATAGCTATAAAGTAAAATGGCCATTTGGATCAGGTTATGATGAGACTGTATCTATTTTCCTAGTGGCTTTTGTTACCCTAGAAGATTTCCTAGATATGCATAGCACTGAGAGATAACCAAGGAGCAAAGCAATCTAAGGTGAAAATGAAGAAGGCAAAATAAAGTCATGTGTGAAGACAGGATAGGAGCTAGGATTGGCATGTTTGCCACAAGAACAGAAGGGAAAGTGGCAGCCGTTACTCCCAGGTGATGTCATTGTGACACACCTTCACACTTGAAGGCAGGTGGGATGCACAGCCAGGAAACCAAATGGTAGGAAATTGATTTCTGAGACTGGGCTTAATACTGGAATCCCGTCTTTCTCCTACCCCTCTGCAGTTAAATGACTGCTGTGTCTGGCTTCCTCTCTTTGGCATCAATAGCAAGTCTTCCTCCTGTCTCAGACCGATCTCTTCATTTAACATAAATTGAAAAAAATAGTTAATTTGAGCATTTCTTTGTGCAGGGATTCTTGGGCTCTTTGGCAGGTCCCACTCACTCCCTCTGACTGCTTTTGAGCTCCAGCCTTCCTCTGAATTGGGTCTTCGGTCTTCTCAGTTGGCCCACTCTCTAAGCAACCCCATCTATCGCACACCTTCATCCACTGTCTTTGTGCAGATGACCTGCCCCATCCACATCCCTCCCACCCCTTCCATCTTAGCTCCTGGCATGCACATCCAGCCATTCACTGGACATCCCCATTCAGGAGCCTCACAGGCTCTGGAAACAGTATATCCAAAGCTCATTCAGCCGCCTCTACTTGGAGCTAATGACAACCCCTCCATCTGGTAGTTCACACCAGAAACTCATGCTTCACCCTTGACTCAACGTTTAGCCTCAAGTATCTGTCCAGTTCATCCACCCTCCTTCCCCACTAGTCACTACCCCTGGTTCAAGCACTTAACTCTATCAGCCTCTAGACCTAGTTCACTCGAATCCATTCTCCAAATTGATCTTTCTACAATGCAAATCATACTCGTCTCCTGCTTAAAATTTCTCAGTAGTTCTGTTGAAGAATGCCCAAATTCTTTAGTCGGTGTACAAAGCTATACAAGGCTTTAGCTGCGGCTCACCTCTCCAGCCTCTCATCTCTTGACTCCTCCCACCTCGTGCTCAGAACCACTTCCTTTCTCTCCAAAGATCCAGGCTTTCTGTCACTTCGATTTTGCACATATCAGCCCCTCTTCCTGAAATACCCTTCTCTCTTCACCCCCACCTCTCCCTCTAGGTCCAGTGAATCTACTCCTTAGTTCTTTAGGTCCTGATTTATAGAGACTTGCTTCAAGAAACCCATCCCAATTTCCCTCACCAGAGTGGGACTAGGTTCTTCGTTCTGTTTCCCCAGCGCCCAGTGTTGCCCCCTGTTGTCCTTATCACACCATCATTCATTGCCTAGTTGACTTGTTTATTTCCCCCCTCATTTGCCTTGCTTACCTTTATAATATACCTTAGCACATAGAGCATGATCATATATTCATCGACTACCTGAATTGAGAACGGTAAGAGCCACAACTGAGCACTAACAGAACAATTGGGACAGAGTCTGTGAGCACCTAAGAGGTGATTAATTCATTGGAGTGATGGGTGATTAATTCATCTGTCTTGGAGCTGCCGTCTCCAGGGATCTACAACTGTCTCTTCTCATTCCTCTCCTGCAGTGATTAAACGTTCCTGCTAGGGACTGTTTTTCAATTGTTTTATTCTTGGAAAACCCAGGCTTTTCTTTGTGTGTGTAGGGAAGATGGTGTCTCTGAAATCTATCATTGCCATGAGATGAGAAGAAATGAGCCTGGACAAAGAAGCTTTTGTGGCTTTGTCCCAAAGCACTCCCCAACCTCCTTACTTTCATCATAAATGAGACAACACTTCTACTTTCCACAGAAAATCCCTTAGAAGGTGCTTAGCTTGATTGTTTCTAAAGTTTGAACTCATTTTCTACCCTCTCCTTTGTTACGATTAAAAGACGTAAGGGCCCTTCCACGCCAGACTGCATAATGGGAAGATCGTGGACTCAGGCCTCAGACTGGTTCATATCCTAATCTTGTCCCTTAGTGGTTTCCTTATTTGTACAGAAGAAATAATGTTCACCTCAAGGTTGTTCCAGGCATTAAATGATAATGGCTAATTATTACCTCCTTACTATGCACCAGACACTGCTAAGAATCTGCTCATTCCTCACAACCACCCTAGGAGATAGATGCTGTTACTTTGAGATCTTCTATACTAAAGAGCCTAGCACTTAAGGAGGCCTTCACTAAATTTTAGTTGAATCAGAACAGTATGGCCTAACCCTTCATTTTACACATGAGGACACTCATAACAGTGACGTGACCCGTTCAACACCAAGAGCCATTTGTATAGTCATGTCTCCAGTTCACCTTTTCCATTAAGCTGGTCTCTGGCCTATTCATTTTCTGGCTTTATTTGATCCAAAGGGGCATCCAACAAATGGCAAATAGCCATTTCTTTGCCTATCCTATATCCAGACTCTGCTCCCAATTTGTGTCCTCCTCCATACTCTTAAGCCACTACACTTTTGCAGAAAGGGATTGTCAACAAAAGCAGTATTTTGTTTTTTAAGTTATTTAAATAACAGTTAACATAGAGTGTAATATTAGTTTTACATGTATAATATAGTGATTCAACATTTCCATATAATACCCGGTGATCATTACAAGATCATCCTTAATCCCCATTACTTATTCCACCCCCCACTTTCCTCACCCAACTCCCTTCTGGTAACCAACAGATTGTTCTCTATAATTAAGAATCTGTTTATTGGTTTGCCTCTCTCTCTCTTTTTTCTCCCTTTGTTCATTTGTTTTATTTTTTAAATTCCACATATGAGTGAGATCATATGATAATTGTCTTTTTCTGACTTACTTCACTTAGCATAATACCCTCCAGCTCCATCCATGTCGTTGCAAATGGCAAGATTTCATTCTTTTTTATAGCTAATATTCCATTGTAAATATACACCACATCTTCTTTGTCCATTCATCAATTGATGGACACTTGGGCTATTTCCATAACTTGGCTATTGTAGATAATGCTGCTATAAACATCAGGGTGCATGTATTCCTTTGAATTAGTATTTTTGTTTCTTCGGTCAAATACCTAATAGTGCAATTGCTGGCTCATAGGGTAGTTCTATTTTTAACTTTTTGAGGACCTTCCATACTGTTTTCCAGAGTGGCTGTACCAGCTTGCATTCCCACCAACAGTGTAAGAGGGTTCCCCTTTCTCCGCATCCTCCCTCACCAACATCTGTTGTTTCCTGTGTTGTTAATTTTAGCCATTCTGATAAGTGGAAGGTGATTATCTCATTGTAGTTTTGATTTGTTTTTCCCTGATGATGAGTGATGTTGAGCACTTTTTCATGTGTCTGTTGGCTATCTGGATGTCTTCCAAAAGTAGTATTTTCTAATACCCAGAGCCTCTACGACACAGCCCACTCTTGATGGGCACTTCGCATCTGTTTGCTGGAATCTGGGCAGCTCCTTTGGTGCATGCACTCAATGTTTTGCAAATCAATGGGTTATTTATTGACAATAAAATTGCATCTGAGAGATAATTACCTTCAAGCATCTTGGGCATTACATAGAGCTGGGACAGAGATGAAGAGTTTCCCATCAAGTCATATTCCCATGACCTGGTGTGAGCAGCCTCTGACTCTTGTGCCATGATCTCTTGGAAGCCCTGGTTCATGTTCTAAAGATTTAAGAGGTTTACAAGCATCAAAGGCTTTCTGCTTATGATGGGTATAAATTAGCCTGTCCAGAATAAGGGCTGGTGGTGGGTCCCTAAGCAAATTCCTTTCTTCGTTCTTAGATTAGAAGCCTGTGGGGTTGGAAGAGGGGTTATTCACTTACACCTCACTGCCAGCCCCAGTAATCAGTCTCTCCTCCCAGCAGCTCTCAGGCATGTCCGCCACAATAGGTTAGCAAGGTGATTCGTTGTTCTCCAGTGGTTTCCTGTGTTTGTAGGATGTTTGTTTCCCAGCCAGTCTATATATAAGCTCCTTAATGGCAAGCATCAAAGTATCTCCCAAAGTCCCTGTCACAGTGTTTGCTAAATAAAGCCTATTGGTTTCCAATTGAATACTTCTTTAATTATGACTGCTTTAGCTTGGGGAGTCTGAAGATTCTAATTTTTCTCCATGGCCCTTACACATGATTAGCATGTAAACCTCATGAGGACAAGGGACTTGTTTTTGATGATTGCTGTATTCTTGGTGCCTAGAGCAGTTCCTGGTTCACCGCAGGCACTCCCTAAGTATTAGATGGATGGGTGGATAGACAGATGGACAGGTGGTGGCAAACGTGTATTTTGCTCCTGTGTGCTAGGCACTATATTTAGCACTTTATTCACAT